GGCCCGTGCCCGCCGAGGGGGTTGCTGCGCTGTGCTGGTGCGTGCGGCGTGAACCGGGAGCGCTGGGGCTCTCCCGCCCTGCGAGCGCCGGTCTGCCCCGTCCTGCCGAGTCCCGTGGGGCTGGTTATCCCCGTCTCGGGTGGAGTGAACTGTCAGAAGCACGTCTCGTGGTACGGGTATTTTAAACAAAAATGGAAGGGAAATCCCAGTTAATTTCATGCGTTGCTGTTTGTTGAAAAGCTGTCCTCGTGTGGTAAATGCTAATTATCTAATTCACCTTAATTTCTACCTGAACCCCTAAGAGTCCTAGATCCTCCTTCCCTATCGATGGAGTAATATCCAAACTTTATAGCCCGCAGGCACGAGAAGGAGATACACCGCAGGCGGGCTAGGAATGGGTGCTGCAGAAACACAAGTAGAGAGCAGTTGTGCGAGATACCTCGAAGGCAAATAGCTCCAATATTGGGGTTTTTCTGTTGCGGGTGCAGAGACATGACTGTTGTGTCCTTCGGAGCCATATGTGCTGAGAAACTGGAGAGTCTTTCACTGCAGCTTTCGCAGCTGCCAGCTTACGGGGCGAGGGAGGGCCACGGTCCGTGCGGCGATGCCGAGGCTTGGCTGGGGCTCAGTGCCAGTCGGCAGCTCGGGGAGCAGTTTCTCGGGCTTCTCTGAACAAGCCCCCGGCCCTTACTCGCCTCCAGCTGCGCTTGGGAGTACGGCTGGTACCGCGGCGTTTGGTGGTAGCTGCTCTGCTTACTTCCCGTGACAAAGCTCTCGGGCCCCGTGGTTTATTTATTCCCTCACGCCCACCAGAGCGAGCCCTGCCTGGGCAGAGGGTTTGGGGAAGCAGAGGCTTCACGTGGTGTTTCCCTTTGAGCACCAAAATTCCTTCTTGCTGTACACATGTTGTCCCTGTTCTAGACGTGAGGCTTGGTAGGTGGTTACTTGCTGTGAATGCTGATTTTAATTGCTTAAAGTGAAATTTAGTATGTAAATGTAGTGATAAAATACTGCTGGAAACAGATGAACATTTATTTATGAATGCATCTATTGCTAAGCATAGCTACACTAATAATTGGCCATGGTTATTTCCTGGGTTTTGCTGTGGAAAGGTTGATGACTGTGTACTGATTAATTGATTTCTTCCCCAGGGAGCTGCCTGTGGCACTTTGGTTTGCTGCTGAAGCTGATCTGCTTACTGACCTGTATCTATTTGCTGTCATATTCTCAGGTGTGTAAGTCTGGAGTATTTTTATCCTTAACGGCCTGAGAGTGTGTGAACTCTCTCTGCTTTTTAATGTGTGTGTAACTTGTGCGTTTGCTCCTGTACCATAAACAGAGAAGAAAAAAACCGGAACTTTTCCGTTTCTTCCCATATTTGAGTGGTGTGGATGCTGGACCAACCACCGTTCCGCATCCTGCCAATGCGTGATGCTTGGCGCGTCTTCAGCATCCCCCCCCTGCGCAGTGACTGCGGAGGTTGGGTGCTGGGCTGGGGTTTGGTGCGGTGGAAGTGACGGGCTTCGCCAGCCCGTGGTGATGCGCGCGGTGAGACGGCGACGGGAAGAGCTGCGTCCCCTCGGCCTGGTGCGGGCTTTGCTGCCTGGCCCGGCGGCTGGTTCTGGCGCTGTGTTACTGACCCGCTGCCCGCGCCGCCGGCAGAGCCGCGGCAGAGCCTCTGGCGCCAGGGTGTTACAGGGGGTCGGGGGCTTTCGCTCCCGCGCTGCCTCTGAGCCCGGCGGGCTGCAGCCCCGCTCACCCACGGGTCTCTGCCCCTCAGCCTGCGGCACGAAGCGGAGGGTGTGCCGGCACCCCCAGGGGGAGCGCAGCTGGCACCCTCGCTCCTCTCGGGAAGTACTTTTGGTTGGGGATTTTTTGTCTTGGGCGGGGGCAGTGCCGTCTAAGGCAGCCTTGATGCGGCGGGGGCAC